GAGATTTTCGTATCAGTTCATAAAAGATTTAAATACTAAAATGTAAATGGTGTTTTGGGTATTACTGTGAGGCAGCCTCAGGAATGGAAATTCAAGAAAAGCATTGCAACCTATAAAGTTCAGACGATACTTGTAAAAGCCTGCCTGATCTGAGAGCTGCCAAAAAGGTCAGTAAAACCAAACTCACCAGTATCCTCATGCTGTGATAGCCAAAGACCTTATCTACTTAAGTGGTTGCTAATGGAAGTTAAGACCATACAAGAGGCAGATGCCATTTCTGGGACAGGCTGCCAACAACGTCACCCATCCCACAGCATTCGTGTCTTTACAAGGGAAGCATAGACAGCTTCCAAGGAACTGAACTAGCAGTATCACACAGCACTTTACTCCAATGCCATGCTCAAAGTGTTTCAGGGAGCTACTGATGGGGCTCAAGAAGTCCTGTGTGGTCTGTGTTTGCAAATCCTTCCCCCAAAAGGATGGCTCCTGCCTTTGTGCAGATGATCAAAATTCTACAGCTACCAGGACACTGAGTAGCAGCTCCAAGACAAACACAGCATTGGGAACTTATGCATTAGCTCTCACATCTTGTGATAAGCAGGAGGACCTATCTCAACACAGAAATGTTTATTGCAATATGCATGTAACATTGCCCCTTTTGACACAGTGGTTTGTGGTATTCGGGGTCTTGGGATCCCTCTTGTTTTAAGGATGCACAGTCTTGTTCCATGGACATCCCATGGACATCCAGGAGGAGTCATCTACCACATCCAAGCGTGTCTCTCTAACCACCCTTCTCCCTTGGGATTCAACATCTTTCACTGCCTTTACCATAAGCCTGTACTGCAATTGATGTTATGTTTGTCATTGACTCCTGGCTTCTTCCAGCTGTTTTCCCCCTCCCATTGTCTCTCTGCTGTTTATCAGGCACAATTCTGCTCCAAGCACTCTGCAGGCACCAGGGTTCAGTTTATATTTCAGCCTTAGTGTGCTGCTCTGATCCAGGTATTATCTCCTATTGTTTCAGCTATCACTAAACCAAGGAGTGTGTATGTGTTTCCTCTCTTCACTACAGTGCAAAGCTGCCAGCAAACTTATCAGCCCACAGACCAAAGAAACTTTTTCTAGCTGCCACACTCAGGAGCAGCATTCTGACAAGCCTGAGGAAGCCGCTCTGCCCCCCTTCATAAGTTCTTCTGAACTAATTGACGCCCACAAACCACTTTCAGATGCAAACATCTCCAGGTCCAAGACCAGGTGTCCAAAACCACCAGAGATTTTTAAATCCTCCCTGGTGCTTTCCATTCAGTGTGGCATTCAGTGTTGTAAACCAGAGGACATGCCTCAAGTAAGTGTAGGTCTGCACAGGGAAAAGCAGCATCATTTGCTTCCTTATAAATGCCACTGCAGTGTGGTTACTCATACAATCATAGAACATCTCAAGTGGGAAAGGACTCATCAGGATCTTCAAGCTCAACTCCCTGCTGCTCACAGAAGTACTGAAACCACGTAACTAAGAGCGTTGTCCAGACACTCTTCGGACTCTGACAGGCTTAATGCCGTGACCACTTCCCTGGGAGCCTGCTCCAGTGACTGACCACCCTCTCAGAGAAGAATCTCTTTCTCATGTGCAACCTGAACTTCCCCCGATGCAGATTTGGATGCAAGCAAAGCTAATACTACCAAAAGGAGTGACAGGGTACCTGCCACCATCCATTTCTCAGCTGAATCGATCATGCAAATGCAATCAACAAGATTACTTTAAATTATGGATTAACTGGCCTCAGTTCGCCTGTGGCAGATTAGCAAACACTCAAATGACTCTTTTTTGGCAGAAAAGCTGCCTCCAGTAGGTCAGTAAAGATTATTCTGAATAGTAACAAAACTGAGGAGCTAACAGACTGGATTTTCAGTACTGCAGAACCTACCTACTTCCAGCCAAACTCCACAGGGTGTGAGGCATATGCAGCTTAAATAAGAAACCTAACCCAGATGTTTGAGGAGGGAGTGCAGACCTGAAGTGTATGGAACCTAAAACCACACAGATGAAGGAGATATCCAGCATGAAGATGCCTGTACAGACAAGTTGTCTGAAGGGAGTCTGTGGCAGATGTGACTGGCAGTGGGAATTCTTATTCTGTTCATCCCTTAACATTCAGTTGACAGATTTCTCCATAGCCAGAAGGAGCACTTCTGAATCCCCACGTTCTAAGCAAGTCTTCAACTGCTCAGAAGGCTGGGATTCTTTAGTTATAAAAAACAGCTTTAATGACTGTAGAATCAGAGACCTAAACAATGAGACAAGGAACTACCATCTGACTGCAAAGAAACAAGAATAAACAATTTACAGAAAACCAAGCCATTTCACAGCACAGTGTCTCTCCTTTTAATAAAAGTGGCCGATGTTTTCCATTGTTTGTGCAAACAGAAGGCAATGGTGCGTTTCCCAGGGGAGGTGCTCTTGTGCAACTGTTTATTAGAGGCAATCAGTCAACTCCAAAGGACTTAAAAGTTCAGTCCTCTTCTCCCCCACCTCAATCACATTATGGTAAAAACTGCTTTGACTGGCTTTAGCTCCTATTTTGCTGTGTAGCTCACCAGCCTGATCAACAAACCTTCCCAACCAAGGGCAAAACAAGTCTGACTGCTTCTTGTCAACATCTCACCAGCCATATAGATGAAAATATCCCCCATGCTGTCTTTAATGCCTGGCAGCAATATCCCAGTGGCTGAAGCCGCTCAAGCAGACCAAAAATGCATCACAGGCAGTAGTCTAAAATATTCAATGCTGGCATCATGGTTTTCTCCATTTGCAGCCTCTTTCCTCTCTGCACACTGTGCTTCATGGTAACTGGACAGGCAGATTATACTAAAGCTCATGCCCACCTTGTCAAATGATTTCTCATCAAGTCTCAGCGGGAACTAATTGAAGATTAAACTAATCATTCCATGAGGCCTCTTATGCAGTGTTTTATCACTTTTTGTGAATACATTAAAGAAAACTTCAGTGAAGTGCTGATGTGGCAGGACCACTGAACACACAAGCTGGAGTGACTGGACAACCCGACACACATCTGAGAAATGAGAATTTGGATATCCTCAATAAATGGGACAAGACAAACCCTTATGCATTTCTTCTGGCTGTACAAACCAGCCCAGCAAAATGGTAATAGTGTTTTCCAAAATATCGTCCTGCCTTTTCTGAAAACAAAGGAGCAAGTCTGACAAGAGCTGCTTGATGTTACATGAAATATTCCCAAGGAACTCTCTGATCTTCTCTATCTCCTGAAATCTGGAGAATACCACAGCCAGCCACTCTAACTTGTGTTGATCCCTGCTTTAACCTGCTTCCACAATAGCCAAATTCTTTCATCAGCCAATCTGTAGCTCCATCCCTGACCTCTGATCCACACAGCACCTCTCTGGGTATTGTACACAGCTATCAGATAACCACAAGTGACATCCAGGCTTCCTCCAGCCTCTGGGTAAAAGCTGTAAAGAGGGGTCAGGGCAGACCCCCAGATGAAAAAATTAATGTAGTTTTTCTGCAGTGCCTTGCAGGGTTAAAGGAGCCATTTAACCAGAGATGAAAGCTGAAAGATAGGTCCAAAAAGCTTTTTTGTTTTGAAGCAACAGAAAACACCTCCTGGAATGGTAGAACCTGACACTATACTCAGTAATAAAAATCAAGATCCCAAAGGCAGGATCAGACATATTCTTACTAGTGTTTGCTTTGACAGAAATTTGCATTTTCAAGGCTCTTCTGCTGTAATGGCAAAAGAGAACTCCAAATACTGGTCACCACAGCTATTGGGAATATTTCGGGAGTATTGTATACATCTCATTATTGTGCTATATGCTACTCTGTCTCCCTTGTTTTTATCTTACAAATAAGAACTCCTTCAGGCAGGCATCATATGCAAGTTCCCATCTAAGCATTTAAAATATTACAAGTGGTGTGAGTTATCAGTCAAAGTTTCTGGAATCACTCTCACTTTTAAGATAATTTAGATGCTTCTCACTACTTTCAACATGCTAGTATATGGGAAAGCAAGATTAGCTTTGGTTTAGACTATTAACGTAATATGATTGCAGTGCACTCAGAAATGGTAAAAAATCAACTCTCTTTCATTCCCAATTGCTCAATTCAGTATGAAACCACAGTAAAACAGTAAGCAAATCTTGTGAATAAGGCTTTCATTTACATTTGACAGAGAGCCAACATCTGTGTTGCTATTTTATTTATACACACAGACACATATATATACACACATACACACTTTTTATACTTTTATATAAATACACACGCACACTATTTTACCTGGTTGCTTTCTAACAGTAACTATTTCAATATAAGTTTTTGAAGAGGAGAGGAAGGGTCTGCTGAAGGAAGATTGGGTCACGGCCTCACCGCAGAGCCCAGACAAAGGGTTCAACGTGCACATTATCCCTCATAAAGTGGAAAAGCATTGTATTTTCTCTCCAAAAATTCAGAAAGCATTGCCTGTCCTTACAGACTGTGCACCATCTCAGGACAAATCCCAGACTGCTAAAAATCAAAACCACGCTTGGATGCCACAAGTTGTTCTTCTGTGTCCTGTAATTTTGTATAAGGATCACCAAAAAGAAAAATCATTTTGTCCATCTTTAAGGAAGGACAAAATTCTCATTAGAGAATTTTGCACATAAAAGCTTGAGGAGATGGTAAGTCCAATACTGAGCTGCAAGAAAGCATGTCCCCAGTGAGACACGAAAAATTGTTGCACTCTCAAAACCATGGAAAAAAAATGTTAGAAGTTAACACATTTTAAAATATACTCCTCCAGCTTACTGGCTAATATCTCTGACATGGTCTGGTGGCACAGCACCCTCAGAGCCAGTGCATCAGAAGGAACCAAATGAGTTCAAGGACAAAGAACCAACCCTATGAAAACCTGTGTCAGTGATCACCACAGAGAGAGATGTTACAGCACAGACTCCTCTGTCCACAAGGAACAAACCTGTAAAATCACTGCCTACAAGGGACTGAAACAGTGACCGACTTGGCCTCCTCTGGCCAAAGAGAAGACAACAAAGCACCTTCTCCACACTCAGAAACTGCAGCCTGAACCACTTGGCTCCATTCCCTTCCCTGACTTTTCAGAGGCGGAGCAGAAGGAAAGCACAGTCTCAGTGCACAAACCCGCACCTTTGTATCTTCAAGGGTTTTATAGCGTGGAAGAAAAAGTTCAGTACCTGCTGTCCTAGGAACAGAAGATCCTCCATGAGCCTTAAAGTCAAAGCAGGACTCCTCACAGCAGATCACGGACCCAGAGCAGAACTTCGCATCTGGGGAGAGAGAGTTTGGCAGAACAAGGCACCGTGTGGGGAGGGGAGTGAGGAGACATTTCGTACCAGTCAAGGAGGAAGGTCAGCTGTGGTTAGCCAGGGTTATCTTGCAAAGGTCTAGAGAGCTAGGTTTGATTTAGTTTTTAAAGTCTAGCCTTTCAAACAGCACTGACAAATGTATTCCCCATGCTATATAGCCCCATCATAAATAACTTGAATCAGCCCACAGGCCTTCAGTAACCTCATTCCCGTGTGCTGAAAGCTGCTCATTTTAAGCATAAAGAATATGACACACATCCTCATCTGCACATCTTACCATGGCCAGCAAAAGGTGTCTCTTTAAAAGACATTCCAGCCTCACCCAGGGCACCAGCAGGCATAATTTTTCCTGACTTTTCTGTCATCTGCCCAACTTCTTCATTAGGAAGTTAATACTCAGTGCTCAGCCCGCTGTCCTTCAGAGGATTGCAAACCCTTTTTTAAAATATGGTGGGTCCTGAAGGTATTGTTATCTCTATTTTACAGAAGAAGAAGCCAGAGAAAAGCAAGAGGAAAAATTTCTAAAGCTTCTAAATGACTGTGAAACTGCAGTAATTTTCAGAAGAGAATTGGACACTCCAGAGCTGAAGTCAACCTTGCACGTCCTACAGTCACATCTCACAATGAAACACACTCTCAATTCACTTTGGGCAAGGTCCTCAAAGCCACATGGATACCTGAAGAGAATCACAACAGGAAACAATTTCCAACTCTAAACACAGAGCTAAATCAGCCATGACTGCTCCCCTCCTCCAACCTGACAGTCTGCAGGAACCCATTTTTTTCACCAAAAGAAGGTAATTGGGTACCTCAAGTTTTTCTTCCTCCATGCTGAGATCCAAATATTTTGGCTAAGCTGAACCTCTTAGAGCTTATGCCCAGGAAGCCCACTTGGGACTGGGAGGTCGTGAACACAGCTAATGCTCCTCAACGTGGCTCTGGTGTCAGTATGAGGGAGCAGCTGCTCCAACTTTCATTTAAAGACGTGGCTGGAGGAAGAAGGTGTGGTTTGGGGTGGCACCAAAATAGCACCTGCTGCCAGGACAAGGTGGTTGCAACCTCTCCCTGTGGATAGAAGCACTGGGTTTGGACTCTGCCTCCAGGGCTGGTTTTGATTTTTATCCAAAGATGTTTTAATGCAAATTACACAGTAATCAGCCTTAGGAATGCCGCCAGATACCTGCTCCCCACCTCTCTTTAGGTAGGCCACAATCAGGCTCCCACTTGCTTCTCCTCTCCGGCTCTGCGAATCCTTCTCCGCACCATGGCACAACTTCAATAGAATGGGCTGAGAGGTTGCCTACAGCCTGGGAAGGGACAGGTGGATTTGAATATCCCTTGGGAGAAGGAGGACCCAAACCCAAGTTCGACCACTTCTGAGATGAGTATTAAAACCATTGAGTTATTATATGAAAACCACCACACCAATCATTTGTATCTTAAGCAGCAAGTGCAGGGCTGTAAGCTGAGACCTCAGCAACAGGGGCAGGTTTGACTCACCGGGCCAGGTTTGGAGCTTGCAGAGTGTGGGAGCTGCTTGTGGGATGTGGCGTGAGAGCTGGCTGGGGATGTGGGGGGGAAAAGGGTCTCCAGGAGTCTGAGCAGATACCAGGACAAGTACTGGGGAGGGAACCAGATCCTGCAAACAAGTCCTCTTGAAATCACCAGAGGTACATCTGGTCCCAGCATTTGAAGTCCTGACCTTACTTTAGGGTTAAAATGTCAAACTAAAATCTCTTTTATCACCACCAAAGTGCTTTTACCTTGCATTTTTAAGTGTTTGTTTAAGCTGAGGTTAAAAACAGTCTGGGCTTCTTGACTCCTTTTCCAGATCATAAAACTCTCTGAAGTCCAAAAGAGTATAGAATGTTTCTATAGTTTGACTAACAATTGTGTGCCTAGTTAGCTTCCTGCACCTTCTTCATCCTCGACCTAAAAGAGTTTACCTGCAAAAATTTAACTAAAAGCATTTCTTAAAGGAATTTTTAGAGTAGCTGTTAGCCAGTGTGTTTTTATCACAACTCAACTCAATAAAGTAACAGCTAGCTCTACATTTAATTGTTAGGGAAAAGACTGTAATTAAAGAGCAAGTCTATGCATGTGTTTTTAAATACTGTGAGCCTCATTTTCTTCAAATTTGTTGTTTCTTCCAATTCTTTAAATATGCATTTGAAAGAAGTAGAGGGACAGGTAGCACTCTTTGGAAGTGGCAAATAGGTCTTTTGAGAAAATAAGTACATTTTAATCTCACTGAAACATACTTAAACATAAAAATAGGAGGTAAGAGGTAGAAAAGTTGCACTTCTTGACAAAACAGAGGATGTATCCCCCTAAATAGGGACAGATGAATAGCCTGAGTAAATGGAAATATTTGCAATTCATTTTAGACATCTAGCAAGATGTGTGCCAGAGCTCTAGAATTTGTTTCAGGCCCTTTCAGAAATAAAGTCTGACACAAGATTTTGATTTAAATTTCACTCATCCTACTGCCACAGTCATTAGCTTATTCAACAGCATTAAAAGTGAACAGCAAGTGCCCCTAGAAACCTCCTCCCACAGAATAAGAAAGCGAGAGGTAAAATTCTGCATCATTCCACGCTGATGATTTTTTTAGACGGAATTTCCCACTCACCTTAACAAGGTGATAATTAAAAAATCTCTGCCAAGGAACACAACCTCCTCACTGGACCCCCGCAGCTCTGAACACACCTGCTGCTGGAATTTGATGTCCTGTATCTAGAGCATCAGAAAGTGTTTGGGAGACTTATTTAGGAACAAGTACACAGTTGCACAGAGATTAAATTCCTTGGAGTTCTTTTTCTTCTTTTTTTTTTTTTTTTAAATTATTCTAAGGAAAAACAAGAGAGGATCCTGCAGTTTGGTAACTCTGAACATAAGGACACAAACATGGCTTGTCATCCTTTCAACCAAGCACCTGATGGCTACAGAAGAAACAACACACAGTCGTGTCTCTGCTGACTTGCTACAGCTGTTCTTTTCAGATTTTGCAATGGTATGGGAGTATTACAAATCTAATATTGCTTTTGGTACATGGAGAGCAATGCTGGCCAATCCTGCTTGCACTATCCCATTATTCAATTAAATATCCAAAATTAAAATATACCACATGCCAATACAGAGCACAGTCTTACCAGCCCTAAATCAGGGTCAGGTTTATGCTTTTGTGGCCTCTCTAAATATGCTCAACTTGAATGAGCTGTACCCTCTGCCTGTTTGAGAATGACTAGCCACTTTCATTTTGCAGGATGGATCCACACCCCTTAGGGCACATCTGAACTCAGGCTTATTTTTTTCCTCCACAGAACACTCAGGTGCAGATCAGAGCATGGCTGATATCCACACTAGTTGCTGTACTGTCAGTGTATGTTCTGTACCACAAAGAAAGAGAATCCAGACTGCAGAAAAACCTACTGCACACACCATCACCTTCCTCTGAATCTCATATGAGCAATGACTTTGCACCCACAGGAGGAGACCAACTGTGTCACTCTTCCAGCATGGGCTGCCATCCAAACCCATAGCTGGTACTACCACACACCCCCCCTTATTCAGTGGCAAGCAAGCTCTTATTGTCCTGTATCCTTCCTCCTCTTTCAGATCTCAGTCAAGACTTTTCACCCCTGGCACTGAATCATCTATTTTACTACCTTTAACCCCCCTCAATTTGGCATAATTTGTTTTCCCAGACCCACCACTGTGATTTTCCCAAAAAAATGAAGGAAGCAAAGATCACATAAGAAAATCCTACATACCTTCATGGTACTGTATAGCTCTCCTACAACACTCACTAGTCTGTGCCTTCATGCCAGCCTACAACATCTTCAAACCCTTGAGCCCCATCTCTTGGGCAAAGATTCTTGGTGAGACAGACATTCACTTCAGCAGTGAGAGCTTCAGCAATGAAACAGTCACTTCTGTGGTTGCAAAATACAGCCAAAATCTGAAAAAAATATCCCCTCCAGTTCACACTTTTGTCTAGATCAGTCACCAAAGATGCTCCACATAAAGCTAGAGACTGGATGCTGGTGCAGAGCTCAATAGCCCTAAGAAGCAGAAACTCCCAATTAATGCTAAAAAAGAGCTTCTAGTCAGATTTAAGCTATGTCCCTAGACAAAAAGAGGTTCATCAGGAGAGTGGTCCAGCCTCTGAAACAAATGCATCAAATTCCAAATGTCATTGGATTTGATCCAAATGGATGCCTTTCCTGGGCCTGGTGCTAATAAACCTGCATGCTTCAAACAAGAAGCAGCACCAGAATTGCAAATGTCTTTTCCATGGACCAGGGCAGTACCTCACCTCTTCTCTTCTGACATTTTCCTAGTCTCACAGTCAGAGACTGGCCAGAGCCCTCCCAGTTCCAGTGAGAGAACCGTGACTGGGATGTGTGTATTATAGTAGTACAGATGTAAAATGGTTAAGTGGATCACTGAAGGCATCCACCACTGCTTTGTGATGCATTTGAAGAACTTTAAAAGCAAGCAAATAAAGCGCATCAAGCAATGTAAATGAAGAATTATTTTTTTCCCTTCTTAGATTACATAAAAGATTTTGGCCCATTTAAAATAGACATCCTCAATTAAAATTATATCTAGCTACAATGGGGTAGTAGTCTTGTTATGACTGAGTCATTGTTGCACAGACTTGACTCTTACTATGGAAAAAAGGGGGCTCTTTGGTATGGAATGGTTTCTCAAATAAAGTTATTCTGTAAAGAAAACTAATATAAGAAAAGCAAAGAGCCCCTTTAATTAATAGCTATATGAGGGATTTTTTTCAGCCTAGTTATTCTGCAACAGAACTTAATCATGAACTCCTCTCTCCCAATGATTATCTCATCTCTCTGAACAGTACAAGCAAAAAATTGCTGTGTACCTTCCTCCCTCTAATGAGGACTGTGGGAAACAGCAGAGACATCAGACACTTTACGTGCTTACCTCTCCCCATATGTCCCACAGATGCCAAAACCCTCAAAAATTTCCCTTCCCTGATGTCAAAACAAATACGAAAAA